AGAGGTGGAAAAGACATACGGCATCTTTTAATTTTTTTTTTTAAAGTAAATTAATCTCGTTTGGAAGTGTCACTGTGCCAGGACACTGACTCAGTTTTAGTTTTTTTTGTTTGTTTGTTTGTTTTACTTTTTTTAAAAACATGAAGTAGGGGGGAAAGTCCCAACTGAGAGCATTCAGCCATGCCTTTTGAACTGCTTCTTGGTTTCTATTTTAGTTTATAGTTGACTTCAGCAGCAAACGTTTTAGAAAACCTGAGGTTTGGGATATTGTATGGGGAGTAAGACCAAACCACAGTAGTTTTACTCAGCTGATAAGTTTTGGGATTTATGAGTGATTAAATCATCTCCTCACCATGGAATAATCTCTCCAACATGCCATGGAATCCTAGTTTGGGAAGGTCATGCCATCCATCAGATATCCAAAAAGTTACTAGGCATAAATGAGGAAACACCGAGAAACTGAAAAGCTCGCCCAAGGTGGTAGCAGTTGTAAAGTCACTTCTTAAAAATGACTCTCTTACTTACTTATTTTGCCTCCACACTCAAGTTTTACTGTCAGTGTTTCTTACTATGCAATACATGTGCAAGAAAAGCCATTTCTTTCACATATAGTGAAAATAAAAGATTCTTTTAAAATTACTCAGTGTTGTCTTCTTAAAGTTTTGAACTCTCAATTCTTGCATTTGAAAGTGGGGGGGGGAATGCTTTTTTTTTTTTTTTTGAAGTTTAAAACATACCGGAGCCCAAAAAGTGCTGCTTTAGCTACCCTTTCTTCCCGTGAGTCCCACCCCTCCACCCACATTATAGGAGTACTGACTTGAGTCTCTTAAGTTTTCCTCGTGTATTTGGTTTAATCTAATTGGTTTTTGTAGTTTAGATTCCCTTGTTTTATTATAGAAATGGTCCGATTGGTGTGCCTCTTTGCCCTTGTTGAAGCTGATATAGTAGTGGCCTAAGATGATGACAGACTGGTCCATGTAGGTGTCCATTCCTTAATAGCCTTCTTGTGACCTCCATGCCCTTCCTCTTAATCATTTTCTCATTATCTTCCTGAAGGACCTTGTGTACAGTAATATCTTGTATTTTAGTGCTTAATAATCAAGTATGTCTATTTTTTGTTTAGTTTCCTCTAAAAAGTAGATAAAATTCTATCCATAGTATATTACATGATTGTAAACAATCTACCCTCTTAGTTTAGTTCAGTTCAGTTCAGTTGTGTCCGACTCTTTGTGACCCCATGAACCGCAGCACGCCAGGCCTCCCTGTCCATCACCAACTCCTGGAGTCCACCCGAACCCATGTCCATCAAGTCGGTGATGCCATCCAACCATCTCATCCTCTATCGTCCCCTTCTCCTCCCGCCTTCAATCTTTGCTAGCATCAGGGTCTTTTCAAATGAGTCAGCTCTTCGCATCAGGTGGCCAAGGTATTGGAGTTTCAGCTTCGACATCAGTCCTTCCAGTGAATATTCATTACTGATTTCCTTTAGGATGGACTGGTTGGATCTCTTTGCAGTCCAAGGGGCTCTCAAGAGTCTTCTCCAACACCACAGTTCAAAAACATCAATTCTTCGGCGCTAAGCTTTCTTTATAGTCCAACTCTCATATCTATTCATGACCACTGGAGAAACCATAGCCCATCAAGTAACTTAGAAAGGTTTTTTTTTTCCCCCTTACTACTCCCCAGATGGAACGTAAAAGTGACCATCATTAACTCTTGGTCCACATTGCTGCCCAGGTTGTTCATCAGTGCTGAATGTGCTTAAGAATCCATGTTCTTGGAATATTACTCAGCCATTAAAAAGAATTCATTTGAATCAGTTCTAATGAGATGGATGAAACTGGAGCCCATTATACAGAGCGAAGTAAGCCAGAAAGATAAAGACCATTACAGTATACTAACACATATATATGGACTTTAGAAAGATGGTAACGATAACCCTATATGCAAAACAGAAAAAGAGACTCAGATGTATAGAACAGACTTGTGGACTCTGGGAGAAGGCGAGGGTGGGATGTTTCAAGAGAACAGCATTGAAACATGTATATTATCTAGGGTGAAACAGATAACCAGCCCAGGTTGGGTACATGAGACAAGTGCTCGGGCCTGGTGCACTGGGAAGACCCAGAGGGATCGGGTGGAGAGGGAGGTGGGAGGGGGGACTGGGATGGGGAATACATGTAAATCCATGGCTAATTCATTTCAATGTATAACAAAAACTACTGTAATGATGTAAAGTAATTAGCCTCCAACTAATAAAAATAAATGGAAAAAAAAAAAAGAATCCATGTTCTTAGACGCTTTAGGTTATTGCTTAGATTTAACATAACCACTTTACATTCTACCTCTTCAAATGCATGACTGGTATCATGGGATACTGTCTGGGTTTGTGAGACAGCAGCTTGTGGCACCAGAGAGCTTCCTTCAGACTTACTCTGCATGGCCTTTATCTGGCAGGTAGTCTAAAGAGCCATGGGCAGTGTTTCCCAGTGGCGTACTTGTTTCCAGCTCAGGGGGTGTTGGTTGTGGTGCGACGGGTCACCGCTGGCCTTGGCGCAGGCCTGCCTGAGCCTTTTGTTGAGTCGTCCTGTTGCTTGGTCCATGTCTTGGAGCTTTACACCTCTGGAAGCTTTACACAGTTTTGTATTAATGGACTTCTCCTATCTTTGACAGAATAAATTACCAAGTAATTTCTGAAACTATGTCAGATGATTCTTGTAGTATATAGTAATGTCTTTGAAATCAATGGAACACCATCAATTCATTCTTACCCCTAGATTTGACCTGTCTCCTGAATCTAATCCCATTTTACCCCTAATTACTGGCTGGACATACTTGTGAGGCCACCTTTAAAGCCAATATATCCTATCTGGTGTTGCTTTCTTGGAAGCTGCCCTTCAGTTCTTAACAAAACCATACTTTTCCTACTCACCACAGGGCTTAGAATTTTGCAGTTATCTCTGCCAACTTGCTCTGCCTCCTTTTCTCATTCCTACTTAATTACCAAGCTTAAGCAATTAAAGTTTTCCACTCATTTTGTTGGTGCCTCTGCGTTTTTACTATCATTAAGATATTGGGCCCTTAGCAGTTCATATCTGAACTACTAGTGTGGAAACATTGTAAGTGACTTTCCCCCTCCAAACCATCCTGCTTGCTGCTTTCTCATAAGACCGCTTTGGTGTTATTAATCTCCTGTTCTTGAAGCTTTTGGTTTTATGCCATCGAGTGAAATCTAGACTCCTTAGCCTGGGATTCAAGGCCCACAGTGTGTGCTGTCTTTTTAGTCTCATTTCCCTGAAGATGATTGGTATTCTAACCTACTCTCTGTTGCTCGAAAATGTGTTTTCTTCCCACTGTGGTGTTAGTATCCATCCTCATTTGGCTTACCTCCCCCTCTTTCTTTTTATTTAAACTCCACCTAATCTCAGTCGTTCCCCACCTCCTGTGATGCCGCCTTGGTTGTTTCTTTCTCTGAACGCTGAGCACTTGCGTGTCACTGGAGTTACCAGGAAGCCTCAGAGTACTGCAAGGTGTACAATGAAATGTCTCATCATTTCTTGCATTTAGTTCTTACGTGGAATGTGCCATCATATACTGGTATATTGTCTTATCTGGTGGTTTTTTAACAGCTAAGGACAAAGAGACCCAGCATCCGTTCTTTTTGACAAATGTTTTCTTATTAACCTAAATAAAGTTCATAGATGATACAGTGTACCTACAGACATAATTTTAAAAAATCAATAATAACCTTACTGTAGTATAAAGGAAAAATGAATGAAAATAATTGTAATTTGTATTTCAATCTTCAAATACTAAGCAAAAATTATGTTTTAGCAAGAAAAGTTCCTGCAGATTTAAAACCTTTAAACTTTCCTGCTCTACTGTGTTGTACCTCATTAAACAGCAGAACCAATATTGATACTAATACGATTTGTATCTCAAGTTGCAAATTATGAATAGCCTTTTTTCATGTAGAGCGTGTTGTTAATGTGGCCCAGCCTGAGTTATAAAATTTAAAAGTTACTGGGAGACAAAAATACTTCTTGTAAAATGGTTAGAACATTTTATAATTACATATTTAGCCTCCTCTTATATGGTTCTTGTATAAAAATGTTTTCAGAGGTTATGGGAATAATGCAAAATGTTGACTGACTCCTTGATTTTAAGACATTGATATTTTGTGCAGTCTTGTTCATATATGTGACTTTATGTCACATAAACACCTTGAAAGGATAAGTTGTCTGCAAATACCGAGAGAAGTCTTTACAAAGGAAATCAACCTGCAATGCGGAAAGACCTGGGTTTGATTCCTAGATTGGAAGATTCCCCTGGAGGAGGAAATGGCCACCCACTCCAGTATTGTTGGCCTGGGAAATCCCATGGACAGAGGGGCCTGGGGGGCTACAGTCCATAGGGTAGCTAGAGTTGGACATGACTTAATGATTAAATAGTAGATTGATGAGGTCTTTTATCTCTGTAAGGGTCAGATTGTTGCCTCTTTGTGGCAGGAGTTCTTTGTGTTTAGACTACACTTTCCTCTCCTGATCTTTTTTTCTCACAAAAGATCCTTTGGTAGAAGCCAGTAATGTGTACCAATAACCTTCAACTCCCAAGTCTGTGTCTAGATCTCCTGTGATTTTCTTAATTTTTGAAAGTACTTGTTCCTTTAGTGGCAAAGGTTTACCTGAGAAGCCATCAGAAATGATGTTAGATTGACAGAGCAAAACTCTTAAAGAGGAGTATTTGTAGGTTCTTGGAAAGTTCTGTCTGCATAGTTCTGCAGTTTCTAAAGGCCTGCTAAGGCCTGAATTGGCCCATTTTGCACAATTAAACACTCTAAAACGTGGTTGACTAAGTAGTTCACATTGTAGCAATTTAAAAAATAATGTATTGTCATGGGATAACAACTTGCAGAGAAAAGTCTTGTGGGAAGATCTAAGTGGCTTAACTTGATACTTAGGATATTTGTCATTGTTAAACTACTGGTTTTTCTTCTGCAGATTTTCTTGTGAAACCTTCAAATAGAAAAAGTTCTTCAGACAAACTTCATTTGGTAAGTTTGTTCCCCCTACCCTTCACCCCTTACTACACTGCTGTTTTGAGGCTGCAAAAGACAATTGACAGATTAATTTGGGGGTCCTGTTTGTGGACATTTAGGTGAACTCTTGTATGTTTACTTTAATGTTAAATCTTAAAATTTGGTGGTCTCTCCCCACCATCAGGACTCAAGCCAGATTATTTTCCCCATATGTAATTGTGCCATACTATAATATACTGTGCCTAGAAACTTGTATTAAAGTTGAGATTAAATGAGTTGTAGCCTTAATCTTTTGTTTAAAATAGTTTAAAACATGATGTTCTTTTAAATTGAAACTTGGTTCTTACTTTGAGTTTTCTTAAATTGTTAAATCTGTGTGAAAATCAAGGCTTTGTTTCTAGACTTCANTATCTGAGGTTACTGCTATTTCTCCCGGCAATCTTGATTCCAGCTTGTGCTTCCTCCAGCCCAGCGTTTCTCATGATGTACTCTGCATATAAGTTAAATAAGCAGGGTAACAATATTCAGCCTCAATGTACTCCTTTTCCTATTTGGAACCAGTCTGTTGTTCCATGTCCAGTTCTAACTGTTGCTTCCTGACCTGCATACAGGTTTCTCAAGAGGCAGGTCAGGTGATCTGGTATTCCCATCTCTTTCAGAATTTTCCACAGTTTATTGTGATCCACACAGTCGAAGACTTTGGTGTAGTCAGTAAAGCAGAAATAGATGTTTTTCTGGAACTCTGTTGCTTTTTCGATGATCGGTGGATTTTGGCAATTTGATCTGTTTCTGCCTTTTCTAAAACCAGCTTGAACATCTGGAAGTTCACGGTTCACATACTGCTGAAGACTGGCTTGGAGAATTCTGGGCATTACTATACTAGCGTGTGAGATGAGTGCAATTTCAATCTAGTCTGTTCCCACCCTACAGCCAGAGCCATCCTTTACGTCACCTCATACCATACTTCCTATCACAACTGGATAAGGCTCTGGGCCCTGCTACTTCTCTGATGGCCCCTGTTCCCTCACTTTCATTGATGATAAAGCATTTGCTTTGGATATTGAATCCCAGACTTCCAAAAATATGCTGTATTCGTAGAAGTTTAGTGAACTAGAAATGCTGGCTTTGCGTGTAATGTATCTATTTTATATATATGTATTTTTTTAGAAAGCTACTTATTAAAGTGATAGTGTTCTTACTAGCCTGAGTTTCTTGTTAGGTATTCCTCACCCACTATTATAGTTGTTTCTGAAAACCAGGTAAAGGTATTAGCACAGTTTGGGTTTTCACTGAGCATAGGATATTGTGGTAAAATGCTTTTTTCTTTCATGTTTTGTTTACTAAATCAGTTTGCTTCCCACCGATGGGGAGATCCATTTTGAATTTATGGAATTTACAAAAACATGCTATATAATATTGTAAGAATTATATTGTTATACTGTATTTGCATTTTCAGGTTGGTTTTAATTATTGCTTTATTATTTTCATCTAAGGTTTATAATAGTTTTCATATTACTGTCAACTTTAGGAACATGAGCTATCGCAACTTTTTTTGCTCAAATAAGTTAACAGTCAGGATGATTTTCACAATCCTTTAAAGGAGTTTGGATTTGACTAGTGGATTGACTGGGTGATTCTCAGCTTTTTCTTGGCTGACTCTGGTCAAGTCTTTAGGTCCTTGTATATGCAGTTCCTTTAATTACGGTATGGCCAAATGGGAAATTGGGCTTCCCAGGTAGCGCTAGTGGCAAAGAACCCTCACCAGTGGAGGAGATGCACAAGATGCTGGCTCGATCTCTGGGTTGGGACCATCCCCTGGAGGAAGGCATGGCAACCCACTCCAGTATTCTTGCCTGGAGAATCCCATGGACAGAGGAGCCTGGTGGGCTATAGTCCGTAGGATTGCACAGAGTCAGACATGAGTGAAGCAACTTAGCACGCACATGGGAAAATTACCAATTTTGTCCTTTCCCCCCTGCCAAGTTCCAGGCATAAAGGAAAGAAAAGGCTTGCCAAGATACTGAAGAAGGGACGGAGATCTCTCCTAATCTGGGCCTCCTGTCATGGTAAGTACAAAGAAATAACAAGACAATTGGACTTGAACTCTGTCTTGACAGTTAAGTGAATACTAGTAAGTTTGTAGTTACCCGTCCTCAGAACTCTCTTGTCTGTTTTCTTTTATTGTTTATTTAGTATCACTAGTAATAATTTGAGTATTCTACTGTCTTAGAGTAGTTTTGCTTCTATTCACTTTAATCGTGTGAGTTAGATATTGTCTCTTTTCAGTCAGGTAGTGTAAATAGATTCAAGACCAAATGTTTCTTGGACTTCAGATTTCTTATTTCTTTTCTGGGAAGGAAGATACAGTAAGAAGCTTTTCTCTGTGTGTATGTGTTGCGTTGTAGACCATATTCTTTATGAATTTACCTTTCTGGATGAAAGCAGTCCCCTGTCTTCCCTGTTTTTCCTCTTTAACATTGTTTTTATCCCAAAGAAGATGAAATAGCTCTGCACAACCTCTGCCTGCTTCTGTGACTTAAATGAGTGTATTTCAGTGACTTGTGGGCCATTTAGGACCCACTTTAGGCAGAGAAGTGGGAGCAATGATCCAGCTACATTTCTATCAGTCCCTAAAATATGTAAACAGTGCTTCAAGGCTTAAGAAAGAAATGGTCCTCTGTAATATTGTCCTGCTTCTACCTTGGTGATATTTGCTAGATCCAAACTGTTTCATGCTGGCGCACAAAGAAGGAATTGAAAAGGCCATGTTAATTTCAAGCATCATTAGGAACATGGGTAAAAAATGCCGTTCAAAATTAAAAACAAACTAAAACCAAAAACACTAGTTGTATAGAAGTGTCATTAAAATGAGAAAGGTAACTGCTGTCATCTTTAATCTTTGCCAGTTTTTTTCTTAGTTTGTGGGCACAACGGCTTTCTGATGTATCCTATACCAAAGTACTGATGAGCTTTTCTTTATACTGTATTTTATTGGTTTCCATGAGTTTTTAACGAATTGAAACAGTGTTTGCCTATTATTTATGATATGTATGCTGGTGCTAGTGCATCGCAAGTGATGGTCTTATGCAGGCAGCTCTGTTGTGTACTGAAATGTCTTGCCTGTATCCTGCACAGCCACAGCGGCGCGGCCCTTGCTCGGTGCTGCCGGCGGCTCTGGTGCCTGCAGACAGTCTTCCCGGTGTGCTCTGGAGATGGGGGTGTGTGTGCGTGTGCGTGCGTGTTTGCACACAGTGTTCAGGGAGCCAGTGTGACCATGTGTCTTAAAAAAAAAATCTTTCATTAAGCAGCTTTATAATAAGTTTTTAGAAGTACTCATTTATAATTCTTCCGCCAAAGCCCATAGTTGTATTCCTTTCTAACTAGTTTATGTGCCTATGTATAGTTCATGTAGTTGAAATTAAAACATAATTAAATTTCTGTTTTGCTTATTTCACTAAATGAATTAAACATTTTTCCTTGTTGACTCGTTGGACTCCTAATGGTTTTTTACTAGCTACCTAACACTTTGCAAATTGTTGAACCATTGGTTTAAGTAGTATTAATTAGTATTTTCTGTTTTAGCATTTTGATTACATGTTCTTAATCCTTATTTTTCTGTGTAGAGAATTCTGAAGCACTGGTTTTTCTTGAATATCATCCTTTCATACTTTTAAAAAACTCTTGAATGAGGTTGAGATCATTTGGGGAGGTTAAGCATTAGGAAAATGTTTCTGTGTTTCATTACGGAAGATCTCAAGCATATGCAAATTGAAAATAGTGTGATGAACTCTCACAAGCCCCACATAGGCATCAGCCAGATGCAGTAATCAGTTCATGACCACACTTGTTTCTTCTGACTCCCCACCCCCACCTCTTTGGATTTTGTTGAAAGAAATCACAAACATATCAACAGAAATTTTTATTTTTGATGACTTTTAATGCCAGTCTTAAGAATGGTAACTAAAATTGACACTAAGACTGATAACCACTTTTAACTTTTACATTTGTCATTTAAATATTTCTACACATATGTGACTTTAAAGAGTAATTTAAAAAAAAGTCATGCAACATTTATATATAAATTTAATTTACAGACATTTCCACTGGTTTAGCCTCTACTCCCTATGTTCTTTGAATACTTATGTTTAATGTTGACTTCCCCCTGACTTATAGACTGACTTCTGTTATCTGCATAGTTTACCAGGCAGCAGAAGTTAGCCTGGAATTGTGGTGACTGATCTGTTTTCAAGATTTTATAGTGACTCCACATGGAGCTGGTAGGGATTAAAAAGTATGAGATCTGACCATTCCGGTGTTCTTAGCGATATCAGGAAATTGACTATGTGGATTATATTCTCATTCTCTTGTCCTAGTAAACTACTGCTTGTAGCTAGCCAGGAGAAATTTGTTTTCAAGCCTCTTAACAGGCTAACACCTGTCAGACTTTTTCTCTTCCTTGCCTTAGTCTCCTTCCAGCTCTTCTCCATCAGCCATCTCAAATTTGGCCTCCCTTTTCCCTATGAAACTCAGTAACTATAATAAATTAGGCAGTTGATTCAGCTTATGTTTAGCTAAGTAATATTTTTACCATTCTTCTTGGAAAGTCAATAAATAGTCTATCCTCAGTTCAGTTCATTCACTTAGTTGTGTCCGACTCTTTGTGACCCCATGGACTGTAGCACACCAGGCCTCCCTGTCCATCACCAACCCCCGGAGTTTACGCAAACTCCTGTCTATTGAGGCGGTGATGACCTCCAACCATCTCATCCTCTGTCGTCCCTTTCTCCTCCTGCCTTCAGTCTTTCCCGGCATCAGGGTCTTTTCCAATGAGTCAGTTCTTCGCATCAGGTGGCCAAAGTATTGGAGTTTCAGCTTCAGCATCAGGCCTTCCAATGAATATTCAGGACTGATCTCCTTTAGGATGGACTGGTTGGATCTCCTTGCAGTCCAAGGGACTCTCAGAGAGTCTTCTCCAACACCACAGTGTAAAAGCATCAATTCTTCAGCACTTGGCTTTCTTGATAGTTCAACTCTCAGGATTAGTCTATTTTAATCCTTGGGAATTAAAGGCATTTTTATATACAAGGGGGAGAATCAGTTCAGAAGCCGAAAATGTAATGTGTACTGGGACAGTCTTATAAAAAGAGCTTATCTTTTATATGACTGTAAAAAATTATTTCTTTATGTTCTTGTCTTGCTGGCCAAATTCTCATTTGTTGAAAAGTCGTTCATTCCAGTTTCAGTTTTCAGTAATTATGTAGATAATATACATTGGCCTGGATTAGCATGCAAGTGAATATGCCAGCAAAAATGAATTGGTAAATGGCTTCTCTAGGTTTTTTTTTTTTTTTTAAAGCGTGCTATATTATTTTAATTCTACACTATTTCTAGGTCAGTGAAAATCTAGTTAGGGAATCACTTAAAGAAACAAGGATCTGTGAAATGATCTTTAAGAGAATAAAAGTGTTCTGTTGTAGTTGTTTAGTTGCTAAATCTTGACCAACTCTTTGTGACTCCATCAATTGAAGCCTGTCAGGCTCCTCTGTCCATGGGATTTCCCAGGAGAGAATATTGGAGTGGGTTGCTATTTCCTACTCCTGGGGATCTTGCTACTTAGGGATTGAACCTGTGTCTCCTACATTGGCAAGAGGGTGCTTTATCTCTGAGCAACCAGGGAAGCCCCCTTATGTGTTTAGGTGAGTTTAAAAAGTTAATGTGATGCTAAGTAAGCGTGTTTACAATGTACTTTTATGTGATAATTTTTAAAAGGCTTCCCTGCCCCCAGTAATTCTCACTTTTCCTGCCTATCCTCTATTGGTTTTTGAGAAAAATAGTCCTAAATCCAAGGTTTTTCCTATCGTTTCTCTTTAGTTCTGAGTGTAAATACTTGGTGTTCTTTAAGTCAAGAACTTTCTCTTAAGAATGGAAATAGCTTTTTGCCTTTTTAACCAATTCTAACACTTATAGAGAAAATGAGTTCCTTTCAAATAATGCGTGTGTCCCTGTTCCTTCACCACATCATTGACTTCAGAGGTCATGAGTGGAATGGAATAAAATGGAACTGACTGACTCAGAACTCTACATCTAACAAGATATTTTGGTTTATAGGAGTGGAGCCATTCTTTGTTCACTCTAGGTAGTTTTATTTTTGGAGGCTCCAAGCCACATCATATCAACCTGACTAAAACGCACCAACTTCATTAAACTGTTAATTTATTTATTGCTATAGTATAAATAACTGAATAGATTTTTATACTTTTGCTTTTGAAATTATTTGATTCTCAGCTATGATTGTTTGACAGTCATGGTGAATACTTAGCAGCCTTAGGGAAGTGACAATACTAACAGGTTGTGCTGTGCACCAGCAGCTATTTCACATAAAATTTACTTAGTGACAGGCTTTATGCGTGATCTGCGGGGGATTTAGTGTACTGGACGATGGTCATGGATTATGTGCAGATACTATATTGTCAGGAAGCATTTAACTGGAGGCTTTCTGTGTGCTGCTTTGGATCTGTCATGAATCCTCTGTTCCTTATTAATTACTGAATATTCAAGAATTGAGAGGCGAGGCAAGCCTCTCCCGGACTGAGGAATCCAGGCATTTCCTTTGTTAGTTTTTCAATGCGGTGATAAGTACCCTCTTCCTTCTTATGAACCATACGGTAAAAGTGATTGTTTACAACTCTCTCTTTAATATGGATCACCTTACGTTTTGTAAGTCTGGAATTTTAATCTTTATCTTTGCTGAGAATAACTACCTTGTAAGACAGTATATATGCCCACACCATGTTGATTAAAACACCTTTGCTCCATCAGAGCTTGGGTCCCCATCTCTCTCTCTCTCTCTCTCTCTGTCTATTTCTGGCTGATTCCTTAGAATGTGAAAGCTGGCTGCGTAACTGTTGCAGGAAGGGGGACCCCTTCCAGGGCTCAAAACTGGGCTTTTGTCTAACACTTGAAAATGGATTGTCCGAGGAGACACATGTGCTGGCAAAGCAAGAAATTTTATTGGGAAAGGGCACCCAGGTGGAGAGCAGTAGGGTAAGGGGACCCAGGAGGACTG